GATGTCACCAAGAGCCGAGTAGGCTTCATGGAGGGAGCACCGAAAGCACACTGATCAAAGTCCACCTCGATAGTGCGGCAGGCTTGCGACAGCACCTGAACCGGTGGTGTCACCCAGAGCAGGCTCAACAAAGGATTCTCGATCGAGAAGTCACCCCCTTGCGTGTGAACGATAGTGCAGACTTCCACGGAGCGGTAGAGGAAGAAATTGCCCAAGAGCACCAACGTAGCATTGTCCGCCGACAAAGAGGGCAGACCCATCGGTTCCTGCAGCGAGCGCAGGGGTGGTGGCCCCCCATCAAGCTTGCGAGCCGCAGAGAAGGTGTTGCAAGGTGTACCGCAATGCACGAACATGATGCCACCCAATTGAGCGACCTGCATGAGCCAATCCCAGAACTCGACATCGAGAACATCCCGTGGCGAAGGCACTTGCACCGAAGCTTCAATGTCCACCGGTGGCAGACAAGGGATGCCCAGGGCACGCACTGCTACTGTCAGACCTCCCGTGCCAGCGAAGATCTCGAGAAAGAATGGACCATGGCGAACTGCTTCGCGAGGGTCTGACGGCACGTCATCCCATGAGAGCCACATGGGCGGATGACGGACCACCTCAGTTGTCTCCTCTTGGAAAGTCCCCGGAGGTGGAGACAGCTCCTCCGGGGAGGGCGAACGCCTTCAGTGATTTCCGTGCCAGGAGTGCTCCTTGCCGCACTCCACACACAGATGCTTGTTCTTGCATTGATCACCAAAACGACACCCCAAGGAGCAATTGAAAAACGGGCACCGTCGAGGACCTGAATACTTGAAGGATGTAATCCTGGACCACTCTTTCGCTGGAACTCGCTCATCCCGAGCGGCAGGCTTCGAGGGCGCTGCTGTCGAGCTACCGGCTTTGGCCTGTCGGAGCAAAAGCTTGGCCCTCTCCCGTCGAGCGCGGTCCTTGCGAGCTTTGGGAGTCTTGGCTGGAGTGGCCGGCGACACCGACCGTTGTCGCTTAGCCGGAGGTGTCTTGGGAGCCTCTGACTGGTGAGCTTGTTTGAACCGGTCGAGCTCCGCGCTAGAGCGAGCGTCATTCCACAGCTGTTTGTGATGGGCGAGCACTTCAAGCAAAGCTGCGGAGTATGTAGTGAACTTCTTTCGCTGATCTGAGCTCAATCGATGAACCTTCTTCCGGATCAAGGAGTCCACTGTGAGCAGAAGAGCCAATCCACGATTCTCGTGGCGCCACTCCTCGAGATCTGACAAATATTGCAGTGGACCGGCACCTACAGAAAAATCACAGATGTTGAGGTACTCCAAGGTGACAAAGAAAGCATGAAGCTTATCCATGACCTGCTGCTCGGAGGCTGCCGGAGAGGGTTGATCAACAGCGACCACCCGCAACAGGTCCTCTGCGTTCTTGGTGAGCCCGGATTTCTGGGCAATAGTCTCATTTCTAGTGCGGATCTCGCCCACCTCATAGAACTTCACCGACCCATGAACGAGGAAATCCCGCTGAACACGTTCCACGAACTTCCGGTGTGGCTCCCGGTGATGCGGCAGCAAGACATCCGGATGTCGGCCAACAAAGATCTCACGGAATTCTGCGTGGTCTTCACCGGGGATCTCGGGAATCTTGGATGGATCCTCCTCCATACGAGCCCTGCGAGCAGCAAAGTGGTCCTGCATGGTGGAGCAAGTCTTCCAAACTGCCGCAAGTGATGTCAGGGCCAATTCCTGAGATGGACCATCCGGGCCGAGATCCGTTGCATCCGGGATCATGGCCTGCAGTGTGGTCTTGACTGCGGCGATGTTGTCACCGAGCATGGCAAAGGTTTCCACTGTCAGGAGTCGCCGATCGGCCACAAGCTTGCACAAGTCCGGAGGGAGCCTTTGTCGTCCGAACACTTGCCGCAATGGCAAATCTGGCGTCCGGGCCGCATCATACGTCGTCCGATCGACCATGAGCCTGTGCACTCACGAAAGCGACCGCTGCTGAAAATTGAGGGCGAAAAACCTACGACAAAAACTCTGCACGTCACGACACTCATGAATGCATGCAAAAAGAAGACTCTCAGCACGATCGGCGAAACGCAGCTTACCAAACCCCCCGTCCCAAAACAAGTCGGCAGACACGTCACTCCCGTCTCTTTCGCCCTGTTCTGTGATCACGGTTGGTCTGGTTTTTGGAGCGCCAAGACCAGATCTGGTCGGGCCTTTGCGCAAGCTTTACAGAGGACCGAGAGGTCAGGCAACTCAGACCCAACCGCTGAACACTCCGCCATTGCAAGCTTCCCGCAAGCGATCGCAGAAGGGTCCCCCAAAGCAGATGAATGAAATTTATACTCATATGAGCTCGCGGCCGAAGAAGTCTTGATGAAAAACTGAGCTTCGGCTTCAGCGATGACCCCGGCATCTTCTAGCTCAACGTCCGGAGTCTCGTGCACGGGATGTTCGTCCGCGACGAGATCTCGAACGAGTTGGTGAATCATGCGAGCGGGCACGCTAAACCGATTACGGGTGTATTTCAAAACCATAGGACCGGGATCCTTCCAGTTTGCTTGCAACCCGATTTCTTCGGTTGACCTACCCGCATGAACCGCAGCGTCCAGTAGGGTGACCCGCGCTGAGTGAGCAGTCAGTGTGTTCAGCGTGCGAGCGCACACCCGCCACTCATCCGCTTGGCGATCGCCCCCGAACTGTTCCAGGGCCTCTCTAGCCAACACCTTCAACCACTGGACAGCCCTCTGGTGGGTTGGGGGGATTACCATGAACTCCGACCGGGTATTCAATTCGGGGATCCAAAAATCACGCTCGCGACCATCACGACCGAACAGGACCCAACCCACCTGAAGCCACTGCGAATTCCGAAAACCTACGTGGGGGATAGCGAATCGCGTTCCGCGTTTCTTGCGATCGACTTTGGTCTGCCATGCCATGCCGAACAGTCCCGCATTTTGCATACGGAGATCGGTTGGCCTGACATGCTTCCCATCGTCAAATCTGAGCGACGCGAACACGAGACACAACCACCACCACATAAAAATTCGACTCGCATCCGGAGCCGCTTCATCAACCACGAACTCTTCCATGCACCCGATCACCTTAATAGGAATAGGCACGGCCTCCTTCAGGGCCTCGGCTCTCTGAGTGATCACCTCCTGTTGGAGCGCCAGGATTGCTGGCTCATCCAAGCTTGGGCACTCAATGACCAAGCGAGCACAAACCCAGCGCACTGCCGCTCGGAGTGTGGGGATGACCGTGGGTCCACATTCCTGATCGTTCAAGTGGAGCATGTACTTCATGATCTTGGAGGTGGTGAGTGGAAAAACCTCTAAATCTCTAGCAGCGAACCAGGTCTCTAAACGCTCGAACGTCCGAACATAAGCAGCCATCGTTCGTGGGGCCCCTGCAGTGAGAACTAGATGACGGAGCTTTTCACTCTCTGCTGGTGAAAGTCCTTCCCCTGTGGAGGGATCGTCCCACAACTTGGCATGCGACCCTGCTCGACGGCCAATCTCTTCGAGACGTGCTGCCCACTTATGCCGTTCGGCATTTTCCTGATCAAGCAAAGGTGAACTCGAGGATGGAGGCTCGGGAGCCCCTGCCGCCCTCCTCGGGGCTTTGAGCTGTTTGCTGAACATGTCTTGGATCGCAGCAGCCCTCTTCAAACGAGCGGTCTCAGGTGACGATGCCAATGCACGAACTGGCTCACACAACCCGAAGCCTAGCTGGTTTGCAGTGGATTCAAAGAAACTTCGTTCGACCGACGAGGCAAGCGACCAAAACTGTTCCAGTTGTAAGGGAGCTCCTAAAAGAACTGCTGCAACAGCTGGATCCATGGTGGTCGACCAATCCGCGACTTTGGCCACGAACGCTGCCGGCGAGCCCACCTCCATCGATGCGATCAGAGCTAGATTCGCGAAAGGACTAGCCATGAGCGCCTGGGCGAAATCATCGCTGAAAACTGGAAACGATAGGATCTTTCTAGCCCACCGATTCGTGTTTTCTTGAGCCATGATCACCTTAAATGAGCACTCTAAGGTCATGTCCATGTCGATCGACTCATGTCCTAACCCCACGTGACAGAACATGAACGATGCACTGCAAACTCACGACCGACTCTGGATCTCAGCCAGCTGATCAAAGTGGACTGAACCCTGTGAACACAGAAAAGCTCAGTCGCAACACTTTGATCGAACAGGCTGGGATCCCGCAGCGAGCTGGGTGCTGTTACCTGCAGCGCACGATCGGCACTTCTCGTCTGTCTCTCTTCACCCACCTGTGATGGAACTGCAGGTTAAATGAAATGAAATGGGAAGTGAACACCTGACGCGACCAAAACAAGAGCCCCTCCTAGAACCAGCATCATGCCCTAGGCTAGAGCTGACTCAAGAAGACATGACGGACTCACTGCGGCGGTCAGTGCCACTTTTCAGCCAACGATCGTCGCGTTGGTACCACTTTAATTTGATTAAGCTGTACTCAAAGAGAGCTGGAGCCTTCCCGGCCACACGATCGCTCAGACGTCGGTGATGTTCTCACCGCCTCCTGGCCCATAGGACCGTGGTTGGCCGTGAGCACGTGGCAACGGACGGTCTTCGCGATCCAGACTCTCCAACCCGGCGATCTCTTCAGCCGAAAGGGTCAAGGTGGACCTCAGCGGGTCGCGATGACCTGCCATGGCCCTCTCGACACCGGCGACAAAAGCCTGGGGAGTGACAGCAGCTGCGGCGATCCGCTCGTTGTTGCGAGCTTCAAGGGACCTCCGCATCACATGAACTACGCCGCCACTACCTGAGTTCTGCACAGGGGCTTGGCCCGGCTGTGTGATCGACACGCTGGAGTCTTGTAGACCTGACAACTGATTCGAGCTGGCGGCCTGACCAACCAGTGCTCTCACACTGCCTGCCCTCTGCGAGATCGGCTGTGCAGACGGGCCCCCCGTGACCGGCGGCAAGATCATCGTAGCTTGTTCAAGCTCAGGATCATGAAACTGAAGTGCCAGTGCGTCGATCGGCACAATCACCTTCTCCTGGCGAAACAGCGGCGACTCGCAAGTCAAATGCAGATTCTGCACATGGGACTCCACAGCGATCGCACCCACTCTCGGCCCACAGTCCGTCAACGAGTCGGCCTGCATGGCTGCCGTCCAATGCGCATGGATCCCTGCCAACTGCGAGAGCTGCATGACCTGATCCGGCCCCTCGATCCTCGCGTAGCGCCTCCGGCACCAGTCCGAGTTCTTGACCAGAGTAGAGCCAGAGACCCTTGACACCAGGAGCCAGCTGGATGGAGCTGACACAGAGGAACATGCTAGATCTAGCTTGTCCCCCGCGGACATGAACCGCATCTCCAGGCGGTCTGCGTCCCAGCCGAACGCGTCCGCCGAGGATACAGCCACCATGCGGATCTCAAAGTGGCACAAAGGATAATCCAGTGCCACGACGACCCCGCCGTCCGAACAAGCGTACATCCTGCCGCCAACCTCGAACGAGATGGCCACCACACGCCACCCCTGGAAAACGGTGACGACCACTGAGGGAACACATAGAAGATCAGCCAACCCCAGAACCAAGGCATCGTTGATGTAGTTCAGCTGGATCGACATATCTTTGTCTGAACGATACCCTCGAAGTTCAAGGTGGAGCAGAAGCGACCCTTCGACCTTGATTTTCAGATCCATCCACGTAGCCGAATCATCCCTCATGACCGGCCACCTAAACGGCTGAAAAGCCTGGTGAGCAAGGACGCGGCCAGTCTCCTGATCCCATCGGCCAGAGGGCACTGAGCTATAGGATGACATGGAACCACAAATGATCAACTTCTGACCATCCAACGTGCGGACGTAGAAGATGTTGAAGTGGTATCCAGTGTTCGGTGATCTGACCTGGGCCTTGTCGACATGAATATTGATCCCAGCTTGCGCATTCACCAAGATCTCATCGAGGAGCCAGCCTTGATACGGGCTCTGAAGCCTCTGATCACGGCTGTCGATCACAAGCACTGATTTCTCCCCTTCTCCGGATCCGATCTGGCGCAGGTAACCTGGGAGCTGAAAATTGAGGGGGCTCCTCAAAGGAGGTGCCTGACCCCACCTCACTTTGTTCGCCCCCTTTCTCTGAGCGCGTTCCTGTTGTCGACGGAGCCGTCTTCCAGCTGATGTCTCATTGACCCCCTCCAACAAATTGCGAGCTGCCTGAGTAGCCGGAGCCGCTGCACTAGAGGCTGGAGGAAATGGGTTCACCGACGGGTTGGCCACAGGTGGTGGCGCTGGAACATCATCAACTGGAGCTGCCCAAGGATCATCTCCCTCCTGTTCGTTCATGCTGGATCCAGCTGCTGCTGGGTGCTGCTCATCAATTCCGGGCAGGCTCTCCTCATTCACCTCAGTGATCACTGGTCCCGAAGGTATGTTCAACTTGGCCCATGATGCTGCTGAGCCAGTGCAGGATCCTACCATACTGGCGCTGTCATCAGGTGTGACCACTTCAGCTGCCCGGCGAGCCGCCAGAGCGATTTGTCGCTGGAGCGCTAGAGGTGTAGGAGGAGGAGCCTTCTTTGGAACAGCGGGAGGAGCCTTCTTTGGAACAGCATCGCTCTGTTGGGACATGGCACTAGTGATCCCCAGGCCCTAGGAACAACCTCAGGACACCAAAAAGTCCAAATTTCTGGATCACAGGTGCCTGTCCTCTTGAGTCCAAAATGGCACCATCAAAAACAGTTGAATAACCAAGTGGATCAAATGTAGGTAAGTTACACAACTGCCCCAAACCTACCTAACCGTTAGCAGCTGCACAATCCTGTCGTCAAAAACGTCTGGAGTTTGGAACACTCGGTGCTGTCCACCAACTGGGTGCCCCGTGCCACCGCCACGTGCCGTTCCCGCAGCCAGGCCGCCAGCCGCTCCAGTGGGGTGGTCTCCCAGGCAGAGAACCAGTCCTCAATGACCATCAAACCACAAATGATCAACAACGAGAAAGGAAAAAGATACCAAAGTCGGAAATGTCCTTTAAAACCTTCCGCTGAAAAAATGCCCTTATATAGTCACTAGATGTCACTAGTCCTTCCGCTCAGCAGCTGCAAACAAGGATAACTTAACACATGAATAATTGTCGGCAATGCTTCCAGCATGAGAAAGCGTTTCTCGGTAATGGGCCGCAGTCATCCGCGGTCAACAAATATAGGTTTGAAAAACCTCCAAACCGAATTTCACATAGACTGCAAACACGTGAGCGGCGTTGATGAGAAAGATCCGGCGAGGAGTGAGCGGAGGCAGAATGCAGAGTCATGAGATGTGAGAAGCACATTGCACCAGTTTGCACCTTTGCTCCGATGAAGTCAGTCGGCATTGCCATTTCTCTCGAGCTTGAGGAGTGTCCTTTCACCAGCATAAAATGTACAAAAATATTGGGCTCATATTGGCCCCATGCGGAATCTTTCATGGTGGTAGTTGATCAGGCGCTTGAAGTCTACAATTTCGCAAGATCATCCAGAAGTAGCACAAGATTAGATCAGCCCTGACGGACTTGGAGAGCGCAGAGATGCGGCCCACCTGATACTCCCGTGCGTTTTAGCCGTAAAGTAAATCAGCCGGAGGATTCGGTTGTGTATGAGTAAACACCAAATTAATCCAAATTATGTGTCTGCCAACAAGCCTCTTGGTTCCACAGGAGCTTCTTGTTCCTAGTAGTAAGGCCAGGAGCCCCTAGTAGCTTCTTGCTCCTAGTAGCGATGCCCTTTGCTCCTAGTAGCGTAGCGTCCTCTCACCACGTGTTTTCACCGAGCATCAAAGTACCAGCAAGCGATACAAAGGCCGAAAACCACCGAGAAGCCGGTGTCCACCTTAGGTGGCAAGGGCATGCAAGGGCTCTGCCACCCACACCGGTGAGGGACTTTTGAAGAGTCCGTCTTGCTTCCGGAGAAGCGTCCCAGCAGCTGCTTCTTCAAAAGCTCGGGAACACGGATTGCTCAAAAGCGGTCAGTGGGTCGGTTAAAGAGAGAAATAGCAAAAAGCCACACAAGAAAGTAAGGCCCTACTGGTGAAGCGTCTAGGCAAAGCGCTCCAAGAGCCACCAAACCAGAAGCTGCTCAAACACCATCTCTCGGTGGGGGAGAATGGAATCGAATGAAGCTGTCGAAAGTCTGAACTACAACATCTGAGTCCGTTATGCCAACGACCTGGACCGTCGCTCGCCGACCCACACAGGGGATCAGTGCATCCCAGTAGCAGTCTGGGCGCTCACAGTGCGTGCACCCCGGGCCTTCGCTGCCTCGTGGACCTTCGCTGACTCGTGGGCCACCCGCATGCGTTTCCGCGCCTCCTGGTGGTATGGCCGGGCCAGCATCCAGTATCGTCTATGAGAAGGAAATTGTCCATTGAAGTTCAGTGAATTACAGTAAGTCTTGGCCATTGGCCATCCAAGACTCTTGGGGTTGGCTGAACAGATTGCTGATGTCACGAATTGAGACACCCAGCAGGGAACCAAATGCTCCATGTATGCGGAGGCATCTCCCTTCGAGCGTGACTCCCAAACAAGATTATTCATCTTCTCGTGAGTTCCTAGAATCTAGTAGCAAGAATGCTACTAGTAGAAATCCCCTGAGTTACTAGTAGCGATGCCCTTGTTCCTAGTAGTTTCTTGTTACTAGTAGTAAGGCCAGGAGCTACTAGTAGCGTTCTTGCTAGCGATGCCCTTTGTCATTAGTAGCTCCCAGATTCTCAGAACCCACAAATCTGCACCTCAACGCTCACGGACTGGAAGCGGCGCTGCCTCGATGGAATTCTCAAAAACGGGGAAGCATTCCTGCATTGATGTGTATCTTGGGTTGACACTCCGCTAGGCCCACCAAGAAAGTACTACGGGACTTGTTGAGATACTGCAGGTGTATTGCATGATCAAATTTGTCACAGCCAATCACAGTCATACTGTCAACAATATTAGTCACATCAGGTGACTGGAAAACTGTGAATCTGCAAGGGGGGGCCCGATGCGACCGGGTCACATCAGGGTCACATCAGTTTCCTGTTTACAAGGCGTTTTAGTGTTTAAAGAATGTTTTGGTTTTATACGAAAGTATGCCATTTCCTTTGCGGAAGCAGCAGCAGTAGGAATTCACACCAGCAGCACACCAGCAGCAGCAGCAGCAGCAGCTACCACCACCACCACCACAACAACAACAACAGCATAGCAGCACATCAGCACACCAGCAGGAGCAAACATGCAGCAGCAGCAGCAGACAAGCAGCAGCAGACAAGCAGCAGCAGCCAAGCAGCAGCAGCAGCAGCAAACAAGCAGCAAACAAGCAGCAGCAGCAGCCACCACCACCACAACAACAACAACAGCAATAGCAGCAGCACATCAGCACACCAGCAAGAGCAAACATGCAGCAGCAGACAAGCAGCAGCAGCAGCAGACAAGCAGCAGCAGCAGCAGCAGCCAAGAAGCAGCAGCAGCAGCAGCAGCAGCAAACAAGCAGCAAATAAGCAGCAAACAAGCAGCAAACAAGCAGCAGCAGCAGCAGCAACCACCACCACCACAACAACAACAGCAATAGCAGCAGCACAGCAGCACACCAGCAGGAGCAAACATGCAGCAGCGGCAGCAAACAAGCAGCAGCAGCAGCAAACAAGCAGCAGCAGCAGCAGCAGCAAACAAGCAGCACAGTAAACAAGCAGGAGCAGGGACACACCACTGTCTTCTTATGAGCTTACCGTTTTGAACCGGTTATTATGTTTTAAGGGCATTTCGGCTTGCATGGAATCATCTGTCTTCGATGCAAAAGGACCAGACCATTTTTTACTTCTTCTTTGGTAGGTATACTTGCTTGCGTTCAGCAACCCAGCAGTCAAGCCATTTGCGGCGGCCTGCTTTCGTGCTTTAGAGTCTTGGGGCCAATCATCTCTTTTTGGAAATGACTGGCCGAAGGTGCCTTCGGTCCTTCGGTGTGCGTTTAAAACGCAAAAAATCAATGTAAAAGGCAGCTACCTTGCCAAACAAGTCGACGTCAAGTCGATGCTGATGCCACATGAAGTGACTTCAGATGCCGGGAATGGTTTTCAATCCAAGCTTGGCAATCTGCCGGGTCATTCAAATTCCATTCTTCTGAGGAAGACTCTTGAGCTTCTGAAGGCTCATCTTGCGCAGGTTTGTCTTGCGCAGCATCTGCACATTGCCTGGAAGCTGCTGTCGGGACTTGTGTGTCCACTTTGTTCTTTTTCTGTTGTGGTTCTTGCACAAGAGAACTGGCATTGGTCTTTCCACGCATGCGGACCTTTTTCAAGAAATCACCGACCTTTGCAGCCAGCTCTTCTTCATCTCTATTCTCAGGAACTTTGGACGCAGCCCAATCCATGTTTTTCTTCCAGCCAGCCCTGCGCTTCGAGTGATGAACGCTGTGCAGGGACTCATCAAAAGCTTTGTTCGCCTGCCCGCATTCAGGGCAAAACTTGCAGATGACCTCCATGCGGTGCCCACACCCAGCACATTTGGTCTTGGGTGGAGACATGGTAGACAAACAATCAAAGGCACGTTTGTTCTGGCATTCCAGGCTTGGTGCTTCTGAAGCGTGAGCCCTCAAGCTGCCAAAGATCTCTTGGCTTCTTTCGACAAGCAGTTTGTCAAAGTTGAAGGGTCTTGCGATGTCCATGCCGCAGGCATGATACCCTTGACGAGCTTTCTCCTCAGTGAGAGCCATCTCACTGATTTTGGAGCAGCACAACAGCGCTTGCTGAATGTTCATGCAGCCTTGCTTTGCATTCCACTGTGATTTTGTTCGGGACCACTCTCTGGCCCACAGCTGGTGTGGTGCTTGGTCCAGACTGCACAAAGCCTTGGTTGAGTAGGCCGGGAGCAGCTATCTCTTGAGTCATTGGGACATGTTTGCGCATTGGCAACAACCAGCACTGCTCCACGAACTCCGCAAAAATGGACGCCGATATTGACCCTGACTGATTGGCCCGAATGCAAGCTGATTGGCCCGCTCAAAACCCGAAGACCTTTCGACGCAAGGAATGGCAACATTTAGTGCAAACCGATGCGACTAATCTATCTGAGAGTATCTGTACCCTCCCTCTAGATGCTATCACATGATACACAGCACGAGTCAACCTGTCAAACCGTGTTCAGGAAGAAAGCACAACCCCGACGAGCACCAGAATCAGAATGCCGTCTGTGTGTGTGTGTCAGTTGACTTGAGTGTGAAAAGGGTCGCAAACTCCGAACAAACGGCTGAACCCAGAACCAAGCGAGTCATCAAACTGGCTGACAAGGTGTCAAAACAACAGAGATCTTGGGTAAGCCCACCTAAAGCCCACCTAGGTCGATTGTCAACTCCTAGTTGGTCAAGATACTCAATTCAAAATGACATGCCCGAGTGACCAGTGTCAACAGTCACAACTTCACGAATGACCTTCCACGTTGGGCGCTTTGCAGGTCGGCAAAAAAAGTACTTGGCATATCCCTGGCCTGAACATTCGTGGCAATGCGCGCTGCAGCCTTCTGACTCCCAGCATATGCATCGCAGATTAGTGGCCGCGCTGCATAACTACTGAGCTACTGTTGAACACAGAAAAAGAAGGCCTGCTTTAATGCCGTTTTAAGGATGTCAGTTTGCACAATCTCAGGTTGGACAAAAAGGAGAGAAGGTTGCAGTATGTGGCTATGCAACAACATTGATACCACTTCTCGGCATTCGCAGCCTGGCCTACAAATCCTCTATTTGGTAGTTCTCTCTCCCCGATAGACTTCATCAAAGTCTCCTGGTTCAATATTCCAGCTCTGCTTATTCTCTGTTGGACACGTGCAAACAGCTGAGACCACTTCACACTGTCTTTCGCGCCAATTACCCTAGTAGCGTCTTTGCTCCTAGTAGCGATGCCTCAGCCCCTAGTAACTAGTAGCGTCCTTGCTCCGAGTAGCGATGCCAGGAGCCCCAAGTAGCATCCTTGCTCCTACTTCTTCAGATGCCCAAAGAATTATCCCCAAACTCGCACAGCTGTGATTTCTGGCATCGTTAGCTCCGAAAAATCGCGTCTGGTCCGAGGTCCTGTCCGAACTGGGTCCGAACTGGACAATGGCGTCTATTCACAAAATATCTAGACATGCTGGTGAGCGATTGCTGAGCCATTGCTGGGACACAGTGGTCTCTGGTTTTTGAGAAGCCACCCACTGAACTCCTACAGCAGAAACTGCAAGGTCTCTAAAGTCAACTCGACATCTCTGTGGAGAGACCAGCTCCTGTTCCTGGGACGTCTTCCGGATTTGGCTCAGGGCTACAGCCGCCGTCTTTCTAGAAACAGCCTTGAAAACGAAGAGCAACCTTGCAGTTGTCACCTTTCAACGTAATACAGGCGAGCCATGGCTATGAGCCAAAACCAGGACTAAAGTCTTCCAACACTTGGAAGGAGCCGACGATTCATTGGAAACTCTCCGAGAAAAGGCCATCACAAAAAGAAAGGAATAGCTAGTTTTATGACAAACACCGGGCCATGGCTCCTGAAGAGGGGCCAACATGGTCTACAGTAGCGCCACAGTTTTGTACTTTGCTGATGAGCTCAGAAACCCGCGGCCTGGATGAGCAATTGAAACCGCTTCTAGCAATGAAAGGCGTTTAAAGCCTCCAGCGAAGTCTGAGTTTGTATGACCTTCAATCATTTGGCCAATCAGTTTCCCGGAGCTTCTCAAACCAGAGCGCTGGCCCCTCACATCCTCCGGGACACTGGCAGATGTTCTGCCTGGTCAAGAGCCTGCAAGATCCCCTCGTGATTGTGGTTCCATCGGGAAATATCCAAACCTTCATCCTGCAATGTGGTCCTCCCAGCTGGAATCTTCTTCTAGTTGTGTGACACTTAGGACAAGGGTTGTGCCCCATATATAGGAAGAAAAATATGGAGTCAATCAAAATTGTAGCATTCCATTGTACAGACTATTACAAAATGTTAAGTAACACAAAAATCAGGTGGAGAATGCAATTCAGAAAGGACATGTTCTCAAACAAGCTTGGATCGCTGCTGTAGCACTGTGCTTGAGGGCCCAAACAAAAGGCGATCCGCCACATCAATCAGCTGTATCCCTGCTCCGAAGTCACGGGAAATAGGCATGAAGGCCAGGAGCCCCTAGTAGCTTCTTGTTACTACTAGTAAGGCACTTGTTACTAGTAGCGATGCACTTGTTACTAGTAGCTTCTTGTTCCTAGTAGTATCAGCAGGTTTGGAGAACTGCTCAGATCCTTGCTTCGGCACAGCAACCAGAAAAGCCTGCCTAAGCGAAGAGCTTTGCATCTCCGGCTGCGCACAGGCAGTTGATCCTGGGTCCACCAGTCAGACGGACACCAAAGCAAGCAGGAAGATCCTCAAGGTCCTCTGTCTCTCTGCATACATTCACTCTGCCATACCACGCCACACCAGGCCCCAACTCTGCGGTCCACTCAGCTCCACGCCCGCTGATCACCGCTATCAGGACCGCCGTGTTGGTATTCCTCCAAGGCTGATCCGGAGAATGCCAGGTCCCATCTTTCGAGCGTCAGCGGTCTTCCACCCAACGGTCCATCCCTCAATCATCAAAAGCGGGGCTACCGTGTCATGCTATCCACCCGATGGGACTCACCACCAACACCTGGAAGGTCTCATCTCAGCCAAAGGCAGTGCGTGCTCAGTTTGACTGAATGAAATCTCGTAAAGCTGCCCCATCTGCCTGTGTAAGCCAACACCAAATCTTGGCTTTCCCTTCTCAACGTGATCCTTCCTGCTGAAGGCCTCGCTGCTGGTCGGTTGAGAATGCAGAACTCGACATGCTTGGGACATTGTTTGGGGCACGTGAGCTCCCCAGTTGAAACTCCTGGGCTCGCTTGCTGTCTTTGAAAGAAGGAGGATCGGCCACTATGCCCTGCCACTGTCCCCATGGAGTCACAAGAGAACCTCCAAGAATGAAGCCTTGAAAAAAACTGTTGGGAATGATGAAATGGGGTTCTCTCGTTGCACAACTCAGAAACCCCGCCTGGCACTGAACACTACACACCTCAGTCAGCTAGCTTGCAGGACGGGTGCCGCAGGAACACTGACGGACCTTTGGATGATTTGACCTGCTTCGACTGCAAGACATCCAAAATCAAAGGCTTTGGCTGCTTCGCACGTCACGCGTCTGCTCAATGCATGGGGAGGAATCCCTCGTGCCAACAAGGGAATTCTATATCTGAATGAGTTCCGTGAACAAAATCCTCCCATTGTCCCTGGCAAAAGAAAGTCTGCGTCTCCCTCCTCTGTTTTTTGTTACATGGTCGATATCCAACAACACCTCCAGCCAACTAACAATCAAAAACTAGGAACAAGAAGCTACTAGTAACAAGGGGCATCGCTACTAGGAGCAAGGCAGCAAGGACGCTACTAATTACTAGCTCCTGGCATTACTACTAGGAACAAGAGGACGCTACTAGTAACAAGAAGCTACTAGGGGCTCCTGGCATCGCTACTAGGAGCAAGGACGCTACTAGGGGCTCCTGGCCGTACTACTAGGAGCAAGTAGCTACTAGCAACAAGAAGCACACGGAAAGTACCAGAAAACCGTCCCCTGGGCCGCCCTGGCTGCTTCGGAGCCCTCGGCGTTCCGGCAGCGGCTGCGCCTTGGGCCGATCATTTTCCCTTGCGATTAACTCAGGGAGTGAAAGAATGCTCCTAGCAGCGATGCCAGGAGCCCCGTTCGTAGCGTCCTTGCTCCTAGTAGTACAGCCAGGAGCCCCGTTCGTAGCGTCTTGTTACTAATAGTTGCAGATTGGACCTCTGTGATTTTGGTGTGATTTGAAATGACCTGGTGCAAGCTTCAGGATGCAGACTAAAGCGGTGGAGACAGGACGGAAGAAACGATGCTTGCCGAAGTCGCGGGGGAATCGGTACAAAGGATGCAACATGGTGCAACAGTGATGGATTGAATCCCGGTGATGGATTGACGGCCTTCGCTTTGTCATGACCAAACACTGGGATTCAATCCACGCCATCACAGTTTGTGAAGGTCACAACTTCAGGTCCAACAGTCCAATCCGAGCGATGGATCGGGCAGCGCTGGAATTGCTAAAGACAAACAATAAGGAAGGGATTGAAATGCATGTTCAATAAAACCAGTGGTTCAAAGGCAGCTTTCTGCCCTGGGTGTCATTGGCCCTTGAAAAGGGAAACACTTATATATATTATATATATTATACATATTATGTATATTATATATAATAAGTATATAGGATCTAATGGTCAAGAACGGTCACCAGGCCAATTGAGCGCCTCAAATGGACGCACCGTTGTTGCACTCACCGCTCTCACCAAAAGACTTGGGGAGCCCTACGCTTCGGAATGGTAGGCCGACAGGCGAACCTCCATGCCCTGCAAAACGCGATCGGATGATGGCTCCAATGCGGTCTAGTAATCAGCACTTACTTCGTCACATGACCTCAAAACAGCTCTGCATAACAGGGATTTGAGCTGAAACACATGCTGAGACATACACACTTGCCAAGTTCCCGGATTCTCCCAACTGGCCGTGCCTGCGGCTCGAAGACCTAGCTGGCAGCGAAGAGGAGAACAATTGGATACCTTCTGTATGTGAGTTGTTACTTTTTACAGCAAGAAGCAAGAAACCCAAGCTTCTTCGACTAGACGAGCTCCTCAGTTCCAAAGCTGATTTATCTGCTGGCACTTCATATTCTATATAGGAATCCGGAATCTGGATGTTACATCCGCCGCCTACAACTTCTCTGTGGCCTGCTGCTACGAAGAGTTTCAGTAGCAATGACGTCCCTCCCTGAAGCATTCTTTTGGCTCTTGAGGATGTAACACCACCCTTCAACCCTACTGAGAGAACCTTCCTCAAAAAGCATACACAGTAAATGCAAGTTCAACATTCCAATGCATCAACCATCTTGATGTCTGACCTACGAAAGTGAGCCGGGAGCTGATCCGTTCCTCCAAACCTTTCAGGCCCCAGAACTAAACGATCCCTGGTTTTGGCTAGTCACGATTTACGGGAGCGAATGAATGGCTTACCTGGTCAACAAAAATCACTCAGAGATCACTTCCTTCTCACTATGACTCAATGCGTTGGCACCCTGATGTTTGGGCGGCCGCGCCGCTTGATTCAGGCCAGTGACAAAGGCTGAGACAGGTCCATTGCCCTGAGTGACTGGACGATGGAAGTGATGATAGCATCTGGTACAGAGAAAGCCACCTCTTTTTCTAGACGTTTGTTTCGGATGCATTGGTCGTATAGGTCGGATAGGTCGGGTTCATTGGAGTTTATATATTCTGCTGTACCTTTTGGCAGCAACATGCCTGCAAGGTCAAAGGTTGCAGGGGAACCGAGCATATGTTCACCATATTGTTCACCCGTGCTGACCATCCTTCTCGGCATGGCATGTATCGCGAGCGAGCTCTGGATCTTCAACCACGGGAATGCCAATTCCACAGGGCCCAAGCCTTGGCATGGATCTCATGCTCCTCTCAGGGCGGCTCACTTCATGTCTTGAACCATCCTTCCTGTGAACATGTTTGGTAAAGTACATGTTGATTCATGAGACAATATTCAGTCATTATCAAA